CCAGCTGCCTCAGCAAAGCCCTCGTCAGCTCTCCTTTCACAAAACACAGGGCACAGGATGGCCTGAACGCTGTCCCTCTGCCTGCTGGGAGGAGCTGTAATGAAACCTCGCCTCCACGTAGGAATCCATGACAAAATGCCCCCCGAAAAGCACAGTGCAGGGCTGGTGCTTGAGACTGAGACCTGCAGTGGCTCAGGGGGTGCAGCCATGCAATGCCTCCCTCTCCCATTACAGCTTGGAGGAGAGGGCTGCCTGGTGGGAAATCTGTTTCAAAATATAAATATTTACCCAAAGTAAAGTTGTAAAATGAAATGACCTGAAAATAACTACTGGTTTTATGAAACGAACCTGCTCTGCTTTGACTAGACCTTCAGAGTTTTCATACTGAGAGTGTGCATGGGCTGATGTTTTATTTTAAATGCTCTGGTTTCCAGTATGCAAATAGTGTAAAATTCATAGAAGAACTGGAAATCGTCAGAATGATGCTGTGTTTCTCCATTCATAGGAAAAACCCACAGTCCAAACCCATATGATAATGTTGTATACCTTTGCCTTCTACACGATTAAGAGATGCCCTGGAAAATGCCTTTTTTCCGGTTAAGAGAATGCATGGGAAGGATGGGATTGAGAGAAAATTGCTTGCAGAACAGTTGGAGAGTAAAATGTAGACTAATCAGAGGGGGTATAGTTAACATATTCTGCATCAAAACTCTTAATTTATTTTTTTTTAAATGAATGTGGATCTTGAGGTAGATAAATAACTCCATGCCAAGTGCTCTGGTGGGCAGAGAGAAAGAAGAATAATCTACGTTTGTATAGAGTGCCATCAATTCATAGCATGAAAAGAGGACCTACAGCATTACTAGACAGTGAAATCAAAGTTTTCTATAATGAGTGTTGGAATATGTGTGATTTCTGGGCCCCAGTTCCTGTATGGATCTCTTCTATCTCGATAGGAAATCCTCCTGTGAACCTCGACAGAGAGCAGCGTGGTCCTGTTTTGGGCCTGTCTGGCTGTGTGGATCCACACGGATCTTCCTTGCTGGGCAAGTGTGGACAGGGGAAATGAGTGTTTCCCAAACTTTCTGTAGATGTGAGCACTGTTTGGACTTACCTTTTTACGCAGTTCCCAAGGAAACGTGTCGTGCTGTACTCCTGTGACTGCTGGCAGTAACTCAGTTCCTCGGGGTCCTGGGGGGAGGCCTGAAAGTCGGCTGTAATTGTCAGCTGTAATTGTCAGCTGCAGGTGTAAATACTGTCTGTATTGTCCAGGAGGGGCTGAGCTCTGCCAGCAGTTTAAGGCAGTGGTAGTTCCCTCGCTGGGGTAAATCCCTGCAGCAGGGAATTAGAGCTGCTTCTGACTCCCCTGGAGGAAATGAGCTGCTTCCAGCTGTAAATCAGGGTCATTTGGTTTTATTGTTTTGCTTGTTATTTTTTAATAGCTTAATATTTTAATTAAGTTTTCCCCTACCTGTTTATGACTCCCACCCTTTGAATCTTCCTGTTAGTTCACTGAGAGGTGCAGTTCAGGTATGAGAAACACTGGTTGGTCTGTCCTTTTTTTTTTTTTATTATTTTTTAAAGTCACTTGTGGTCAGATGGCAGCATTACCAGAACCTCCACTGTGGCTTATTACTATCATTCTACCAAATAACAGTTTGCTTTTCATAAATCAACTGATTCACAAGCCCATTATTTTGGCTTAACAGTGAAATTTGATGATACGAATGACTACTGGCATTAGGTTATTTCTGTTGTTGGGGTGAAGATCTGTACAGCTGAACAAGGCTGGAGGATGTGGGATTGTTTTTGTAAACAATTCTTAAAGTCTGCCAGTACTTCCAGTAAAATAAACCTTAGTTTTTTATCCAAGATACTTTAAAGTGATGAGGAAAGAGGGAATGCTAAAAGTTGTAACGTTGAAATTTCAAAATGCAAACAGCTAAGCTTGGTCTCATAGTTGTTTCTCCATTTATTCCTTCATTTTATTTGCTGATATTTCAACACAGTACACAGAAGCTTAGGAGGAAAAACTGTCAATGCTGAGTGTTGGTTGGCTTGTAAATAAAAGGAGTTCACCTAGTGCAGTGTGCTGGTGAGCACAGGCTGTGGGCTGGCAGAGCCACCTCTACTCCCTGGCAGCCTGGGACTCACACAGGCTCACAATAGGCATTAAAGATCCAGCTGCTGGTTTGCTGGCCTCTGTTTATTAGTCATATCTCCCTTTGTTTAGTTCCTAAAGAGAGTGCCTGTGTCTGCATTAAGAATGGAACTGAGCTTCTCTTGACAAATGACAAAAAGTGTTGATTTTTCTGCACGGATCTGTCTCTACCTTTGTTCAGAATGTGGCCAGATACCAGTTTCTGTGTAGGGACAAATGTAAAGAGCCCTGTTTACAATGGAAGTCGTTTCCCTAGAAGGCAGGCTGTCCCATGGAGCTCCTCTCAGTGGGGCAGGGGATGGTCAGGCTGTCTCTTGGTCACAGCTCCCTGGAGTTCTGTGCTCCCAGTTCCCCCTTGGCTCACAGTCAGTTCTGTTCTGGGCTGCTTTGGGTTTCCCTTGCTGAAGGCTCCTGCACTGCTCTGCTAATGTGACCTGGTGTAGCTGCTGAATCAAAACTGTCTTGGCTGGCTGAAATGTTTTCATAGGCTTTTTAAAAAGTCATTTTGCTGAGTCTTACCATTATGAATACTCAGTGTCCTTCTTTTGCCATACTTTGATAGTGAATGATATTTTAATGCATATTTAAGCCTGAATTCTGTCATGTGTTAATTTATCACTGCTTTGCTTGTGTGACAACAAGATTATCCTCCAAGTCAAATTTCAGCGTGGATAGGAATGTATTGACACTTTGCAGGAGCTAGTTCAGCAAGCCTTGGCTGCACATGTTGGGAATCTGAAGCCTGTATGTGGAAATGGTGCCACCTCATTGTTAGCTGTATGTGTAGAAACAAGCAAAAAATACTGCTTTGGCTTCCACATGGTACACTAGAAAAAGCTGTTCTTACATTCCAGGATTAAGTTATGAAAAATTATTTCAAACTTCTTGGAATTGTCACTCCAGTGAGTTTAAAACAGTTGCTTTCATTGTATGTCATGGTTCTACTACTCATTGCCCCTTTCTTCTCAACGGAGGTCAGTGGTGATGATTTCGGTGTTTTGACTCCCCTTGTTTGCTCTGTGTTCCCTTAAAATAAACTAAAGAAGTCGTTTCAGTTGGGATGTCATGTCTGGTGATGAATGGTTGCTTAACAATACACACTGACAGAGTTCTGCTGCAACCCGGCTCTCAGTTGTCTTATTTATATAACATTTTTCACGTTGGAGAAGCTAGACAGCCAGCAGAGGTTACAAAAACATTGCAGCTGAGTCATGTGCCGGGAGCGAAGGCTGCCCTCTGCTCGGGTAGCTTGGACACAGGCAGAGTTATCTGTACCCTACTGGTGATACTGGGCAGAAGCACACAGGGGTAAAGTGGGGGCACCCACTCCCTTCACAGCAGCTTTTCTGGTTGGGAACAGCTCAAGTGTTGCAAGGGATAGAGAAGCTGAGGGGGTGTTGGCTCCTTAGGATGCATGGGGAATACCGAAATGCAGCTCCTCTGGTTTTGTCCTCATTCTGTAACCTTTCAGAATTGTTAAAACGACTTATAAGATGCTGAAATAGCAGATAGCACAGTTATTTAATTTGCTGGCATGTAAGGGAAGTTAGAACTGTATTTCCTTTAGCTGGTCTCTACCCACAAGTTGTTAGAATAATTAATGAAATGGATATGCAAAAATTCCTGAGGGTGGCAGGACCTCTTTCAGGAGCACGTCCTGGGCACAGAACTTGTACTGGAGCTGTCCAGAATGGTGTCTGGGTGTAAACTGGTGTGTCCCTGCCCTGTGACAGTGAGGTGTGAAGGACAAAGGCAGGGAAATGAGACACTGAGTGGCCCCTAATAAATGTGGCACAGACTTCCATTACAAACTGCATAGGTTGCAATGCCAGCACTGTTTCTAAATGTCTTCTGTGGTATATTTTTTCAATATTTGGAAAAGCGAGGGACAGTTGAAATTCTTTTTTCCTCTTGAGTGAAAAACATGCTGAAATGCTATACCTTCCCTTTTAATTCCAGACACGTGATTCTCGTAATTAATTCACGTAATTCACTGGATTTAATGGCTTTACCTTCTGAGCTTTGTGTGTTGGTCATCCCCCTGCATCCAACTCTTTCTCTAGGAAATCTCTGTATATTAGTCCTAATTTTTTGCTTCTTCACAAGTGATATTTGCAATGTATTGTACTTCCCTTAAAATAAATGTAGGGAAAATAATGCTGTTGTTTCTCTAATTGGAATGGCATCATCTGTTATAAAACCAAATGCTTCCCTTTGTCATTTGACCTGTGTATTGTTCAAATTTAAAACTCTCTTGTTGTTGGCCTGAGATCAGTGCTGTTCATAGAATGTCGGAGGTGGAGGAGACAGAAAAAGGAATAATGTTGTTTTACACGGAGGAAGATGATAGCTCTTTGTAGGTTTTGCTAGAACATTTGATGCTTTTATGAGGTATAAAATAGGACATCAAGGGTTTTTGTTCCATTTGCCTCCCAGTCTTCTGGCACTCCCTGTTTGTGCCCAGTTCTAGTGGTGTGTGCTGCCTGCCCAGCAGTGATGCCTGAAGGAGTCCTGCAGTGTGCAGGGTGGCTTTCACTTGGTTGGTTAGTAGGTGTGGGGGAGGATGATGCTTTCAATCCTTCTCTTCCACTAGAAGGAAGTCACTTGTGCATCTCCCTTGGTACTCGGCTGTGGGTGGGAAACCCACAGATGGGCCTTCTGGGCAGGAGGGCAGTTGGGAAGGGTTAGTGGCTGTGGAGCAAGTGTGGTTATCCATTTTCAGTGACACCTACTGTGTGTTCCAGGGAGTTTGTCACACTGACTGGCACTGGGGGTGCTCACTTCTGTAGCACAGCCAAGCACACCCGATCATGGGAGCACTTCTTTGGAAATCCATCAGTGCTGGCTCATAGAACAAGGTCGCAGTCTTAAAAAAAATCCAATTGAGGCATTGTGACTGGGTAAAATAGCAGGAAACTATTGACTAACTCTGAAAAGCATCTAAAAGTGCCCGGTGCTGCAGCAGCTGTCAGGGTGAGTGCCCCAGCCCAGAGGTCATGGCAGGCGTGTTCCAGGGGGTCAGGGCTGGTTTGCAGTTGGTACTGTGGCCACACTCGCTGACTGGGAGGTTTGGGGAAGGGAGAGAGAAAAAGAAATATCTTTGCACTGTGTATTTATTTTTCATATAAAAAGAAATTATGTATAACAGATAGAAAGTACTTATGATGAATGTAGTTCTTAACTTAATCTTAGGAATCTGTTGATCAGTGTTCTTGAAAGTATTCTCCACGGGAGAGTATTAATCTAAATATCTCTGAAAGTAATTAAATCCAGACTCTCTAGCATATAAGGACTGCTTATTTCATTAGAAATGTAGAAAAATAGGAAGTCATTACTTTAAAAAGTCAGTTGTTGAATTTAACATGGCCTGCTTTGTATTTAGCATTGAATCTTGCTGTATTTATGTAAAGGGTTTAAAACAAAATTTATGGATTAGATGCAGATTTTCTAAGCAACGATTTTTTTCCTCAAGTCTAAAGCAATTTGCTTTGTTCTAATTTATTTTATTCATTTTGCTACAAAGCAGTTTGTGGCAGCACTTCAGTTACCAGACAATTTTTTTTCATGGATTTATCATTTTTTTCCATAAACACGTAGCTCTGGTTGTAGATGGGTACTGTGGTTTCTGTCTAGGAGAACTTGTTCCCTGCTGAAATACTGAGAAGTACATCTTTAAACATGACACAGAAAAGCTTTGCCGGTTAAAAGGCCTTAATGTAAGATTTTCTTGACTTTAAAAGTGGAGAGATTAATCAGTATTCACATTTATTCTTTATTTTAAATATAATCTATTTTTGATTGTCAAGGAGTTAAACCTGGTGCACCTTGAAATATTGGCATATGAAATCATTGTCCCGTTGCCGTTGCAGAAGGTTGTAGAACTATGGAAAGCACAGTCAAGGTATCACCTGAACTGTCACTCAAGTGTCACCCAGAGCAGGATCCGTGGTTAAGTTTGTCACTGTTTGTCTTGAAACACCTGCTGGTAAAAGGTCTGAGGCCTCCCAGCAGGAACTGGTGCTGCAGGTCCACAGGTCCTGAGGATCCTCAGCTCTGAACAGGGTCAGAACACGCTGTGATCTCATGGGATCTGTGTTGTCCTGCAGGTTCTACCCAAAGGAAAACTGAAACTGGAAAAAAGGATGGTTTGCACCTGTAAAATCTAACATGTGTCTGTACTGTGGAATTCTGAAGGGATTCCCTGCATGAAAATGCCCAGAAAAAGAGGCCTCATTGGAAAAGTCTTCTCACCAAAGAGAAATCACAGCTTTAAAACGAAAAACCGAAAACTTCAGGTTTTGATTATAACAGTAAGCTTACTTGCTCTAGGGTGCTGTTTTCCTAGCTGGATTACATCTCAGGAAGGCATCCAAAAGCAGATACTTTTCACAAAAAAGGACAAAAAAAAAGAAAAGCTTTACTGAAAACCTGGGTTATTGCTGAGGAACAGCTTCCATGAAAAAATTTTGACTAGGTCTATCTCAAAACTAGGAAAATATAAATTTATTCATTTTTATTCCCGAGGCATCCAGAATTAGGCATTTTGCTCTTTCTGCAATCACAACATACATACCTTGAGAGCAGTCAGTGTAATAGATTTCCTGTCCGGAGTCCAGTTGCTGTGTGTTACTCTTGGATCTGTTGGATAACACAAAGTGTGCTTAATAACAAAGCCTGCCAGTTCTCTTCCCTCTGCTCTTCCCCTCTCGGCAGATTACCAGATTTATGTTGGATTTCTTGGGTCTTTGTTAATTTCTTCTGCCAAAGAATGTGCTCTGATTGCACTGGCTGGAGAGAAGAGAAAGCTGAGGGATGAGTTTGGTGCTGCTCTTTGTGGTGAGCACTGCTGTGTCCCCTGCACCCACGCCAACACCAGCCCTGCTAGATGGGGGTGCTGCTCATGGAGCCAGGAGCTGGAAGGGACCACGAGGACCATCCAGTCCAACCTCTACCCCTGCCCAGGACACCCCAACAGTCCCACCCTGTCCCTGAGAGCGTTGTCCAAACCCTCCTGCAGCTCTGTCAGCCTTGGGGCCGTGCCCACTGCCCTGGGGAGCCTGGGCAGTGCCAACCACCCTCTGGGGGAAGGACCTTTTCCTGAGATCCAGTCTAAACCTCCAGTGTCCCAGAGACCTGGGATTGATGACATGGAACGTCAGGCTCCAACTGCAGCACCATCTCCTTCCTGTCTGCTTTTCTCAGTTGAACCCGAGCCAGGTGTGATGGTAACACACCGTCACCAATTCCCTTAGGACAGAACTGGGATATGCCCTTCCAGGGGAAGGCTGAGGTATCTCAGGGAGAGGTGGTGCAGCTGTGTCAGGAGCAGGGGAGTCTGAGCTAACGGGGCACTTACCATGCAGTTTTGAAGCTTGTTCTGGGCTCCCAAATGTATATGAAATCTTACATATAATTAAAAGAAATTGTTTAAAAACAAGTTTGTGGAGAGAAATGACACCTTGCAGTAGACCTGTTAATGAGACTGGAACAGCAAGGGGGATTGCAGATGCCCAACCTTCTCTGCAGGTGTCTAATAGATGTTCTGTGTGCCTGAGATGCTGTTCCCCTTTCCCAGTCATACCCAGTTGCCTGTAAGAGTCGTTCCTGATCTCCGGAAGTTTCTCTCCCGTGTTCCCAACCTGTGGTCACTGCCATGTTCCCGCTGTGGGGTGTGTGGGGTACAGCTCCAGCCAGGCCATGGATGTGGTGCAGGAGGCTCCCCCAGCCCCCCTTTGCCTCCTTGAGTAGAAACCTGTCCTTGTGAACTCGGCAGCAACAGCAAAGCCTGGACAAAGCTGCCCCTGGGCTCCGGCACCTCCGGAGGGCACTGCCAGCTGCGGGCACTCCTTTGTGCTGGCTCCAGAGGGGCCAGGGCCTGCCTGGGCAGCCACAGGGCAGCTGTGTCCCTGCCCCAGCCAGAGCCTGCCCGTCTGTTCTTCCTCTCACAAACACGAACGGGTGAACATGTTTTGTGTGATTTCAAATCCACTTAAAGTTCATGGGTTTGAAATCAAAACCAGAACTCAAACCTTACGAGGTTTGTGTTCTGTTAGGAGCTGGCCTTCGGCCAGGGCACGTCTGTTCCTTTAACTTTTTATCCCTGGAATCAAATACATGCCAGTTTGCTGTACCAGGTCACTCGTACTGCTTTATATTCCCTTCCTTGCATCTTTTACCTCTGTTCCATTGCCTGCATTTCTGGGTGTTAGGAAGTTGTTGTCATGGGTGTTTGCTCTTTGGTGAGCGCGGGACTGTGTCTTGCCTCTTTGCCTTGTGTTTCACTGTTTTCAGGGCTCAGTGTTGGCCTTCTGGCCTGTTCCTCGGGGCATTTCAGGCAGTAAACAAAGGATGAAACCCATTCTGTGCGAGGGCTCTATTTTGGATTGTCTAGCTTTGAACATGGACTGAAATAAAGCCCTGACTCCTGTGCCCTGCAGAGGTTTGCTTTCCCCACCCTGGGGAGGTGGCACAGTCACAACAGCTCTGCAGAGCACTGAGGAACAGGATCTTTCCTGCTGCAAATACGCGATTTTGGGGTTTTTTCCTTAAACCTTCTGCCTCCAGTGCAGATCCCTGTGCTGGTGTGTGTGATGGCAGGTGCATGGAATGCCATGCAGGACATAACAGCTTGCAAATTGACTGAAAAATCTTGTGCAGTGTTGTAGTTGATAGGTTAACTCAGTAGTAGTCTACTGATTCCATATTGACTTTTTTTCCTTTTGATAGTTGCAGCTATTAAAAAATTAAACTGGGGGAGTTTCTGTGTATCTATAAACACGAGATGCATGTGTTATTATTTCTTGTTATTGGCATATTGTAGTTAGGAGGCATTTTTAAGAGGTAATATGTTGTTTTAATAAATTATATCCATGCTTTCTTTTGGTGAGCAGGAAAGTGTTTATTTTTCAGTATTTTATACTGCGAGGTGATTATGGGAACCTGCTGTGATCGTAGCAGTTCATGTAAATATAATGTCTTTGATCACAATTATCTCTGAATCAGATGCAATTTTCTTGAGTTCATTTGTTTTTTACAGACATCTGATCAAAAGCTTACAAATAAGTTGGTCTGTCACTTGTGATGCCATCTGAAATAGAGATTATTTCAATTGCAGTGGGAATTCCATGGTGCATATATGTTCTCTGAGTCTGAGTGCAGGAGGTAGGATTTTTGACATCGATGCTTGTGATTATGAACTTTGAATATGCTTGCAGTGTATGTTTTGTATTTTAGCTATTGCTGTTTAAATGAATAAGCTTGCTGTAACTCACTGCAATGTCTCAGGAAGCACTGCCCAGCACATCTGTGGGAGTACTCTTTTTAAACCAGTGTATTGATATTAGTGATTTTGCTTTAGATTAAAAGAATTATGAAACTTTTAAGTTTTTATATGGAATCCTTGCATTGGATGTTCATTGTTGAAACCATTCCCTGTTTCTAAAAAGGGATCATAATACCCTATTTTACTTCAACTTAAGAAAATAGTGAAAAGCAGTTCCACTTCACTTAAAAAAAAAACAAACCAAACCCAAAACAAAGGGAGCTATTACTCTTACAAGGTTGATGATTGCAGCATTAGGTATTTCATTTGAATACTTTTCAAATAGATTTAAGCAAAACTGTGCCAATTTTGTATACAGTTGCTTAAGAGTTATATTGGCTACCATAAGCAGCAGCATCAAAGTATGTGAAGAGCTGAAATTTTAAACAATAGAAAAGGTTAATATTCAGACATCCATTAAAATTTCCACTGGGATTTTCAGTGGCTGTGTTACAGATGAAAAACATTTGGAGATGATCTTACCAACTTACATGGGTTTTCTCAAATTTCAGTGATTTAAGACAGTGAAATGGTGGTGGGAGGTGTAACCTAAAAAAATTACATGAACACCACTTTGGGGTTGATGGTTTTCTGCTTTAGCTGTTACGGATGCCCCCTTTTTCCTGTTCTCCTTCCCACTGGTGATGTATTGCCTGAGAGCTGTGATCACAAATTCCACCTTAACTTTTAGAGAAGGGTTAAGTCAGGTGTTAGGACTTGTAGATGTCTCTACCACCAAAGGCAGATTTCTCCCCATGCCTGCCCCCCCCCACCTCCTCTAATGTTTTAGACTTTTACCATGTTTCCTCTAAGGGCTTTGGATCAAAATTGGGATAGAGTTGCTGGGTTTAAATAGCAGATCTCTAATAAGAGCTATTGTTCACTCTCCTGCCAGCTGTTCTGTACCACAGTCTGGGCAGTGGATTGTAGTCAGTAGATGTTATAAATCATGTTATTTGTCCTTTGCCAACTTTGCCCCTTTCTCAAGAAAAGAAGCTGCCAGTCTGAATGTTAAAAGACCCTCTGTGAAGAGCAGAAAACTTATGATAGCCTGGAAAAGGGCAAGTGGGGGGAATCAGCAAAAGAATATATAAACTAGGGAGAGTGCACAACCACTGCTGTTTATTGTGAAGATGGCTCTTGGCTTGATGTGCATACATAAGAGTGATGGATATGGACCCGGGATGAAGTTCATCTCTTTAAATTATGATTAAACAAGCAATTTCAATCACAAATTATGTGTCACCCTGTCTATAATCTGCCCATTCACTTTACAAAGTAAAGGAGGCAGCTGATTAAATTTAGCTGGCGTGGTTTTTTGCTTGCTGTCTAGACAATTGGCCTGGTTCCCATTGCTCTGGTCTCTGTTCTCTCTTGGTTGAAGGCCCACTAGGCCACTTAACCATTCCTGTCCTTTGGACAGTGTGTTCCGAGGCTGACAAAGAGCATGTGGGGCTGGGCTTTCCTTCCTCCTGGGTCATTAGCAGAGAACGTGGGACCAGCAAAGATGCACACCCGGAGGGTGTCCTGTTCCAGTGAGATGGATCAGCTCTGGAGCCAGCTCTTCCTGCCCTGCTGCCCCTGGAGCTTCGATCCCACCTGTCAGCTGCTGGCACTGCAGCAGCAGTGTATGGATTCCATGGGGTCTCCTTCCAGCTGGACTCTGTACCTACATTAGAGGGCAGTGAAACAGGCAAACAAACCCAGACACTGCTCCCCACCCCTTGCCATCGGCACCAAACCCATTCTACAGGTGGTTCTCACCTTGAGTGCCTGTCCCCAGGTTCTCTGGGGGTATTGCCCTCTGCATGTACAGACCCAAGGGTACAGGTGTTTCTTACTGGGGCCTACTGCAGCAATATCCTTCCACTCCAAGCTAGTGTTACTGCCCCAGTGCATCTGCTGTGCTGTGCACTGTTCTGTTGTGCTGATCGTTGTTACTCCAGGTTAGACCTGCAGAGGGAGGGATTAACTGGGGGGGTAAAGCAGAGCTGGGTTTGGAGTGAACTCAGAGTATGAGCTGATCATTTAACACAAAAAGCACTTGGAAATTTGGGCTGCTCTTACATGCAGGGGATTGGCCTTGTGGTTGGTGCAAACCAGTTGAGATTTGCCTCAGTCAACAGGGGTTGGTCAGCACAGTGCTGAGCCCCAGGGTGTCCCCTGCCTGCAGGTGGGAATTCTGCTCCTGGCATTTCCCTAGTACCACTACAGCTCCCTGCACTAAGGGAAGTTCAGTCCAGCCAGCAGGCAGGACTTTCTTTGTAGAATGGATACGGGAGGCACTGGAAATTGAATTTGCACAAGGTACCAGGAGGATTCAGATGAAGCTGAGCTTTGTGTCCAGGCCATCCACAATCAAAGATCTAATTTTGCCTCTGGAAACCTAGGCATCCTAGTGGATGCCTATTTTTACCTATATTACTGGTTTCCATTGTGATTTTTTTTTTGTTTTCCTTTAGAAGTCCCCAGTAGCCCAAAGTGTGGTGTGATCTTTGCCCTGGTAACCTGGTGTGGGTTCTGACACGACACTGTGCAAGGTTCACCTCTCATGCGAGCAGTTGTGTGCTGAGCATCCACACAGTCAGTCGGTGAGAGGTTTAAAACTGCAGGGATTTGTTAAAGAATCTGTAGCAGCCAGTGGTTTCATCCTGTCTGGGTCCATTTTCCTGATTGCAGGGGGTGTGAAGGTTTTCTGTGGGTTTGTTCTGGTTTGCTGTGTTTCGCTCACAGGCTCAGTACAGGCTGTGTGTGTTTAACCTTCTGTACCTGCTGCACAGGTGTGCAGATCCCATGTGGTGTGTGTTTAACCTTCTGTACCTGCTGCACAGGTGTGCAGATCCCATGTGGTGTGTGTTTAACCTTCTGTACCTGCTGCACAGGTGTGCAGATCCCATGTGGTGTGTGTTTAACCTTCTGTACCTGCTGCACAGGTGTGCAGATCCCATGTGGTGTGTGTTTAACCTTCTGTACCTGCTGCACAGGTGTGCAGATCCCATGTGCTGTGTGTTTAACCTTCTGTACCTGCTGCACAGGTGTGCAGATCCCATGTGCTGTGTGTTTAACCTTCTGTACCTGCTGCACAGGTGTGCAGATCCCATGTGCTGTGTGTTTAACCTTCTGTACCTGCTGCACAGGTGTGCAGATCCCATGTGGTGTGTGTTTCACCCTCTGTACCTGCTGCACAGGTGTGCAGATCCCATGTGGTGTGTGTTTAACCTTCTGTACCTGCTGCACAGGTGTGCAGATCCCATGTGGTGTGTGTTTAACCTTCTGTACCTGCTGCACAGGTGTGCAGATCCCATGTGCTGTTTCACCCTCTGTACCTGCTGCACAGGTGTGCAGATCCCATGTGCTGTTTCACCCTCTGTACCTGCTGCACCGTCTGTCCTGAGCACGGCAATGTGAAATGGCAC